GCGTTAGCATTAACACTTGAGTGTTCGGTATTCCATTTATTATTTTGTCAATAGTGCACTGAAATTGAGCTGGTGCTGTGGAAATGCCAAAACTTAATCTATTTGGCCTAAACAGTCCATATGGTGTGTTAATAATTAACAAATTTTTAGAATCCTCTAGTTTTAGATGCTGAAATGCTGAGCGCGAATCTAATTTTGTAAACTGTTGGCCACCTGCCAATGTAGAGAATATGTCCTGCTTAGTAGGCAGTGGGTATTTATTATCCTTAATATGTTTATTTACAGTCACTTTATATTCTCCACAAACACGAAGACTTCCATTAGACTTTGGGATTTACACTGCTTGACTTGCCCAGCTACTTGTCTCCACTTTAGTATAAATCCCTTGTTTCACACCATTCTCCATCTCCTGTTTAAAGGATTCATTAAGGTCATATGGAACTGGTCTTCGGCAAAAATATATCGGAGATGTCTCTGGTTCCAATTTAACACTCGCTTTATATCCCTTAATACAGCCAATTTCCTCATGAAATAGAGCTTTATGTTCGTTCAAAATAGCCTCAACATCATCAGGTATGCGTTGTACGCTGGCTACATGGTGAATCTCATATGGCTGGGTCGGAGCTTGGGCATCTTGAATTTTCGCATTCCAATCAAGTTTGATGCACTCAAGAACATTATATACTCTCGCTATCGGACTCGGTATCAACATAGTGGGCATTAGTCGCCTTACAGGCACGACTCAAATGTCCTTGAGTTTGGCACTGGTTACAAACATAGTAACTATAGTGATAATCTGCAGAATTGTGCTTACCATTGCACTGGAAACAGATAACGCTCAACTTTCCAGACCTATCCTTTGGCTTGGATTTACGATCCTTTGTAATCAAATATGTGTATTTGATGTAGATGAGAAGGTTCTTGTAAAATCTCACATCAAGGGGAGAGAAAACTGGAAAACTGGCAAAGTTGTAAAGAAATGTGGCCAGAAGTAATATTTGATCAACTTTGGAGGTAAAGTACGTTATTATAACTTAGATCATTTAAGAAAAATGACATTTGATAGTTTAGTTTAAAAGTTTAAAATATTTTATTTAAGTGTCACTGGTATGATACAATTAATACATATATAAGAACATAGTTAAAATACCACAAGCCGATGTCGGCTTATGAGACACTGGTCACTAACTTCCAAATTATTATCGCAAGAACATTAAGCACATACTGTCAGACTGTAGACAATGCGTATCAGTAATGTATAATAAAACAATTTATCCCAAGTATTGCACAGGTTTGATAATTATAAATTCATATACATAATAAATAGAAAGAGTTAACATGTAACATATTGCCTCTTTAAATTGACTAGAGTTAAATTATAGTATAAAAGTAATGAGGCACTCAATCGAATGAATATGGTGAAACATACATTAGGACATTACAAATAATTATGTTTCAGTCAGCCTTTCAAGGTCAAATTGTCTCTTTACAAACATGTTATGCAAGAGAGCAGCCCATTGCCTTTGAATTGATTTTGAATGCATGAGACTAATAAATAGAAGTAAATCATTGTCAGTATTTGTTTTTATATGTGGCGTCAAAATGTTTGTAACAGTTTCATAAAAGTGTGATCTGAGGCTGGAGTAATGTTTACATTGAATGGCAAAGTGCAATTCATCTTCAATAGTGTTACTATCACATAATTTACAAGTTCGATCTTGCAATGCTATGTTTGACCATCTACCAGTCTCAATGTTAAGTGGGAGACTACCTGTTCTCAGTTTGGCAAGCATACTTCTATGATGTCTTGGAATATAATCAGATACATAAGATTCAGTTACAACTCCATATTTGAACATTCTATAAGTTCGAAGCTTATTTCCATTTTGCACATTATTTTTATCGTTCCAGATGTTTTTCAAGAAAGGATCTTTCGAATTGAAACAGTTCTTTAAAAGTTTTATTGTTGTTTTTACATGTAAGGAAATATTATTATCAGTGGAAATACCATTGTTTGACAACATTGTTTTAGTATGATAGTCCCAACTTCTTTTTTGTTTTAATGACCAAACATGCACTTTATAGTTCAATCTATTATGGTCCATATTGTGTAATCTCAGGTACTGGCGGGCACATTCCAATCTTGTTTTATCCACCAGAGGGCTCCACCCAAGGTCACCGCGAACTGCTTCATTGTTGGTTTTTGGACTTACACCAAGGAATGATTTACCAGCTCGATTTTGTATATTATTCAGGCATCTATGCTCCCTAAGGCCAACAACAGCACTGCCGTAGTTGATCACTGGTTGTACTAGGGAGTCATATAGCTTGTTAAACACTTTGAAGTCCATTCCACCAGTAGCTTTTGCTTTAGTTGTAATTACTCCCAGGGCTCTTGAAGCTGATTTGGCAATTTCACTTGCGATGATTTTGGCATCTAAGTGTTCCTCTAGCCATATACCCAGATATTTATATTTTGGAGCATATTCAATGGTATCTTGGCCACATGTAAAAATGTAGACTGATTGAGGGTGGGAGGGGGGCCTATAATGCACTATTTTTGTTTTGCTCAGGTTCATAGAGAGTCTCCATTTCCTGCACCATTCATTCACCTTATTTAGCATGCGTTGTAAGTCTTGAGGGGATGGTGCTATTAATGCGATATCATCTGCATAAAGTAATATACCTACATTGGTATCATCAACATGGACTCCACACCTCAATTGTTTCACATCAGATGCTAAATCGTTTATATAGATGGCGAACAGGGTCGGAGAAAGCAAACAGCCCTCCTTACATCCATTAGATACCTTGAATTTAGGGGTCAGCAAGCCATTAATCCTCACTGAGCAGGTTACATCATGATACAGGGATTGAACAGCCTTAAAGATTTTTCCTTTTATTCCTATTCTATTGAGTTTGAACCATAGGCAATCTCGATTTATACTGCAGAAGGCTTTCGTCATATCGATATAACAAACATATGTGTCCATTTTTGCTAGCTTGCGATTGTTAACAATAGAGTACAGAGTGTGGATCTGGTCACGACAGCTCCTCTTTTCTCGAAAGCCATTTTGCTCGTCCACTAAGAGGGAGTTTTTTTCAAGAAAATTTGTAAGTCTTTTGTTCAATACATCACAATATATTTTACTTGGCACTGATACTAGGGTGATAGCTCTGTAGTGAAGTGGGTTCCTTGTATCCCCATCTTTGAAAATAGGGTTAATTATTCCTTCCATCCATTGATCAGGCACCATGCCAGATTCAAAACATTCCTGTATTATGTTGTGCAGTAGGGCAATACAGTGGGGATTTTTAAGTGTTTCTGCAGGGATCGAGTCAATCCCAGCTGCTTTACGGAGCTTTGCTCTTGCTACAGCTTCTGCAACTTCTTGGATGGATATGTTGCCATTAAGGGTCTCCTCACTATTGGCCGCCTCTGTGTTATTTGTACGTGTATTGTTTTCTTGGATGATTTTTAGGTGATTGTCATCATATTTATTATTGTTGTCAGTTTGAACTGAATAGAGTTTTTGGTATGAGTCAGCCCAATGTCGCAAGACTTGTTGCTTATCAGTATGGATAACTCCTGCTTCATCAACACATTCCCATGGGATAAATTGCTTTCTGTCATTTGACATACCAAGTTTGCCAATATGACGCCAGAAGTCCCTTGAATTTACTTCATTATGTAGGTCTAGCAGGTGTTGCTGCTCCTGTTTTTGATAAGCCCGCTTGAATCGCCTGTGTAACTTGTCAAAGTGCCTACGTTCAATACAGTACACTTCTTTGAGATTTCTTTTCTGATTTGTATCCTTACAATTTAACCAAAGTTTCTCAGCTTTGTCAGCTATATTACATTGTGTTTGTAGGGTTTCATTCCAATAGGGCTTTTTAAAGGATTTCCCTCTTTTAAGGTTAGATGATTTTACTGATATTTTGTCAAATACACGATTCATTTCACTGTTTATCACATTGACAAATTCACCATAAATAGTGTTAATACGCTGCTTTTTATTTGCATTCACTTCCATACTTTTGATGGTGTCCATGACCTTATTAAAGAGACTTTCATCTTGCATGAAGTCATCAGGGGTAGGCTTCACCTTAAATTGACTATTATTTCCAGATTGACATGAAGTATCACATGGAATGATTTCTGAGCCAATATCGAGAGTGCACTTTAAGATAGAATGGTCAGGGATGCTTTGGGGTCTGTTCATGTTTAATTCTCGGATAATATCTGACAATAACAATACATCAAAATTTCTGGCATTATGAAGCCCTTCATGCGTGGTAACGATGTAGTCCACAATGGACCTGCCCTTATGTGAGATACAAGTCCAGTCATCATGACCTGGAGTTCTTCCATTTAATACACACATGTTTGTGTCCACCATAAAATTCATAAAAAGATCCCCATAGGCATTGGTTGTACTATCTTTGCTCACTCGATGAGGTATATTGTCAACCCCCTCTATGAAATCATTTAAGGATCCGAGACGTGCATTGAAGTCCCCTAGTATATACAACTGGCCATAGTTTTGGTAGGAGTAAACCCCCTGAGTAAGGTCGGAGAAAAAAGTCTCTGGAGCCATGTTAGTTGTGGTCCTGGAGATGGGAGGAAGATAACAGCTGCACAATATAAATGTCAAATCTGACCTTTTAGATGATAGTTCAATCCACAAAATATCCTGAGTTGAGCTGTCAAGTATTGAACAGTTAAAACTTTGGAGCACCGACTCTTTCACTAAGAATCCAACTCCGCCAGAGCCACGTCTCGCATTTGTGTGATTAGTGGTTCTATTATTTCCAAACCATTTATAATGATCAACTCTCAATTGTTCATTATTTCTAAGAAATGTTTCATTCAAACTTAAAACATCGAAATCAAGATTCGCAATAATGGCCTTCCTAAATATGGAATTATCCGTAAAGTCTTTCAACGAAAATCCATTTAAATTCCAATGTCCCAATTTTAACCGACATTGGCTGAGTTCCTATTGTTTGGCGTCCTTCTTTACAAACATACCATTTCTTAGAACAAACTCGGTGTCTTTACCTGCTGCTTTGAGTACAGTCCTTAGATTTGAGTTCATTTTTCTGACTTCTGAGGTAACAAAATTTTCAATATACGTATTTCTATATCTGGGATTGTTTTTCAGATTACGTTTTGATTTTAGAACTTCTTCTTTTGAGGCTTTATCTTTAAAAACAACAGTCACGATACCAGGGTACTTGGCACCTTGACGTTTTTCCTTTCTTGAGACATGCTCGACAGGAATGTCTTTGAGACCCAGGCCTTGAATTAGGTCATTTACCTGAATTGGGTCAGACTTATTTGTATCCTCAAGGTTTTTGACAATGATAGAGCGAAATTCTTCAGCAACACTATCGCTTTTGGAAATGTTTTGTTCAATAGATGCTATACGGTCTTGGAGAGCAGCTGTTGATGATACTAATTCCGATCTAAGATCAGTTTGGATTGTTTGTACCTTTTCATCCATTTTGCGTAGAATTCGTGTTTCCTGGGCGACCATTTCATGACGTATATTTGCAACATCACTCTGTATATCTCTTATAGAGTCCTTGATGAAGGAAAACATATCACGGAACTCAATAGCTGGGATAACTTGGGCATGCTGTTGTGAGCTGGGGCATGGGGAGTTAACTCTGTCTTCTTGATGCGTAATTGTTATCACATCTGCAGTGTTGCCCTGAAAAAATTGCTCCCCACCCTCGGCATTCTCTGCAGCCGTGACCTCCTGGGGTGGTGGCGGCCGAGGGGGGTGAGACCCTTGGCCGGCACCACCGCGGAGAGCCGCTGCCACTGCAGAGGACGCCGTGGGTGGCTGTATGGTCATGCAAGGCTTCTTAACTAGTCCATGTTTCACTTTGGATATGTTGTTGATGGTCGTATTTGACTTTATCTGTTTTGGGGTAGATTTCGGCCCCATTTTTTATCCAATTTCCAAACCGGAAGTCCAAAATTATCCTGTTTTACAACCTTCTCGGATAGTCTTATGAATAACGTCAGGCCTTCATAGCAGCTATATGACCAGTGGCACTATGCCTTACTGTTACATTCGATAAAACGATAGTCACTCTAATATAGAGTTCATAGCCCTTTCCCTGCTTATAAAATCTTGCCTCAACTTTTCCTCCCGCCTTTTCCACTTTCCTCTACCTTCTCCACCCTTGCCGGCTCTGCCTCCCTATTTTCCCATACACTTTAACCTATCCGCTTAACAGTTTCCATAAAGCCCTTCCCCTTACAAATTTCTCTCTTCTTCTCTTCATCCTTCTTCTCGCTTTCTCTTCCTTGTCATCTCTTTCCTTCTTTTCTTTCTAAGTTCTTCCTCTTCTTCCGTTCTTTCTCGATCTTTCCTTCTTTCTCGATCTTTCCTTTCATCTTCCTCTTTCTTCATTCTTCTCCTTCCCTTGCCTCTCTTATTCTTCTCCTTCTCTTGCCTCTCTTATTCTTCTCCTTCCTCTCTTATTCTTCTCCTCCGGTCTCTTCTTATTCTTCTCCTCAACCCCATATTTTGTCTCCTCCTGTTCATCTGCCTTCTCCTCTTTGTTTCCCATCTCTTTTCCAGTAGCCTCTTTATGGCTTCCGCTCGCCTTCTTGCCAACTCCTCCTCTGTGAGGATTTTTTCATTTTCATCACAGCACCGGTGGTACAAATCACCATTGTTCTTTTTTCCTCATAGATCTGTTCTCCATCCAATTCTTGGTGGTTTCTTTTCATGTGTCTTTTCACATTATTCTTTCTTTGGATCTTGAAGAAACATTCCGAACACCCAGACATCTATAATAGACAATCATATAAAATCTATTGCTGCCTCAAAAAACAGTATTGGTAAAAGAAAAGTGATGAATAAAATGCCTTGTTTATTTTTAAATAATTCAAAAAAATGAATATTTTATTTTTTAAGTAATTTTAAATTTTAAAGTAATGATAATATTTGAAAATCAATTCACAGGATATAATGATCACCAAGATTTATATTAAAGTTTAATTAGTTTGTAACAGTTGTGACAAGTTTCTGAGTAACACTAACCAAATATATCAATCACTGATAAGTACTAATGTATTGAATTTGTGTCTGGGGAAAGCATTGTCTATATTTTGTTAAGTACGCATCTATTTTTGATTGAATTTGAGGTATATCCATTTCATCTATTGGTTTGTCATGACTAATTGGTTGGTTTATTGGAAGAAAAGTCTGGTTTACCTGTTTGAACCCACGGCAAAATTTTTTCGCTTTTTTTACCATCAATCTTTCAACTTTCAGGCCTTTTGATATTTTGATTGTGGCAGCCACAACATTGTCACATAAATCATTAAACACATCTTCATTTAAATACTTATGGCATTGGTTTCCCACAAATGAACCATCATGATATGCCTCACAGTGTATGTTATGTTATTTCAAAATATCGTCCAAGACATTTGCAACTGTCCCTGCCTCAAGGTGTAACAGATTCTTCTTTTCCCGCTGTTTGATATCAGCCTCCATTGTTTCACGTTTGGTCTGATTTGTTATTGTGTTATACCACTGAACTTGATAAAATAAAAAAATTGAAAGAACAATATATTTCCCATATGGGGTATCCCTTTTCTCATCTCTAAGGGCATCCTGTTCAGCTATACACTCTGCAATTGCCTTATCAATTCTATTACACTGCATCAATAATAGATCATGGTGTTTTTTTACAATTCCCAACAAGATGTGAAGGTATGGTGGACATATTGCATCTGTGTCTATTTCCATAATAGGAGAATTAATAATAACGTTCATGTTTAACTTTGCTTGTTTCTTGTCTCCCTTTCCTTCATGTCTCCCTTTCCTTCATGTCTCCCTTTCCTTCATTAAAGAAACTTTTTGTGATATGTTTTTAAAATTTCCATTGTCCTAGGCTGTGATGCCCCCCTTGCATCACGTGGAATGTGTAGTGAATTTGTATGAATATGACAGTATATGCAAGGATGCAAACCAGCAGCACAAGAAATTCCCATTATCCTGCAAGGAAAATTCGTAATCCCCACACATACATAATTCTATTTTTTATTATTCCATTTCATGTTTTTGATTTTGTTTATCTGTGAGGTGTATCTTGAGAGAAGGGTTTCCTGATTTTCTCTGCTATCATTTGCGCACATTACTGCAAATACCGAAACATTGTCTGTTTTATTTGGAAGTGGTGTGTTGAGTACCTGCAGGCTGACTTTAAACGACCCTCCACTTTATCACCCCCAACTTTGACCCATATCGAGGGGAGTGGAGGGTAGCTTTTGTTGATTGATTTTTCGTTTCCTTATCTATTTTTTTAATTTATTGATTCTGTTTTTTCAATTCATTCCTCCATTTAGAATGATTCTTAACATTTTGGTAATTTAATTTGCAGTGATTGACTATAATCTAGTTATTTTTGATATAGAGGATAATTACCTTTCCTCCAGTTTTGCAGTGGAGCTCCTCTTTCTTACGGGAATGATTCAACTTTCTTTTAACCAATGAAGTCAAAAGCTTATCTTCCAATACTGATAATGGCTGATCACTTGGTTTTTGCAAGATGTCTCTTATTGTTGCATCACGTCCTCGACCAGATGTCATACAGGTAGATGCGTCGTTGTTGCTTATCACATTACACTTCTTTTTTTGGTGTGCTGTGACTCATACTAATGTCACTTGCAAAGTCCTCCTCATTCAAACTTGTTTCAATTTTGCAACGGATCCACTTCAACCAAGTGTTATAATGCCGACGATACAAACAACGCCAGATAAAAAATATACTAATAACCTCATTTCAGCGGGAAATATCGGGAACTATTGGACCAAGGACCAAGGTATAATGGCCACCTTATACCCAGGGCTGAAATAGCAAGAACGGGCTGTTACTGAACGATATCTCATTTTCTGGGGATGATTACCGGGCTGAAATATCAATTTTAGCAAAAGTCTATATGATACACGTAATAAAGTATAAGTAGCTATATAATATAGTCATTGAGCCTGGCCATAGGAAAACAGGTCTTATCACCAAAATTGAAATTGTGCTACAGAGCCAAAAATGTGTAGCTTGTTCTTCAGCGTTTAACCGTTTCTATAGACTTGAGAGGCAAAAGTATTTCAAAATGGAAATGAAGGTAAATGAATTCATTATGACCGTAGATATTTTGTTTGTTCAATGTGGTTCGAATAACGATGCGAGAAATGCAAGAATATGTTTTTTTTCAATAGAAATAGAATATTTTAAATTGGATTAAGCTTAAATATTGATTGGATCGAGTTGATTGGATTCATGTAGAAGATGGATTGGATTGGCAATCTTCAAAATGTGGAATTTCTTTTCTGTTGATCTCCCATCTCCCCCTAAGCAAAATTTACATTCCACAAAGTATTTTTTGATCACTTGTAGTATTAAAAAAACCGAGAGATTGGGTTAGAAACCCGACAGAATTTATTTTCCATTTTTTAACCGTCCAAAATATATTTTTTGATCTCTTTTTATATGCCACACTCGTGTTGATCTATCTAGACATTTTTGGCAATATTATATTAGTCTATTAATATTTTTTACTGATTCATGATATTTAAAGTTATTTCAAACACTTGTATTCTAGATTTTCCAATTGAGAACAATGTTAAATTAAAATATTTTTGAGAAATAACTAAAAGGTTAATCATTCTAATTTTCACATTTTTGTATCTTTCACTTTGATTTTTTTAAGAAAATCTGAATTGTAGAAAAAAGTGCCCGTTTAAAAATGTGTTTTTTACCATTCGATTACGATTTGCCACACTCGTGTTGATCTATCTAGACATTTTTGGCAATATTATATTAGTCTATTAATATTTTTTACTGATTCATGATATTTAAAGTTATTTCAAACACTTGTATTCTAGATTTTCCAATTGAGAACAATGTTAAATTAAAATATTTTTGAGAAATAACTAAAAGGTTAATCATTCTAATTTTCACATTTTTGTATCTTTCACTTTGATTTTTTTAAGAAAATCTGAATTGTAGAAAAAAGTGCCCGTTTAAAAATGTGTTTTTTACCATTCGATTACGATTTGTCATGACTAAAAAGTTATTTTTAGTGATTTTTGAAAGAAAAATTTGGGAATTTCTTTTCTCAAATATTCAAATTTCCCGCCATTTTTTAAAAAAAAGTTCTCCATATATTTCAAAAATATGATATTTTTAGCACTAATGCAAAGATTTAACAAAGGGCCACAATTTCAATGATAAAAGGCCATATTTAATTTGCCACTTCAATGTTTTGGCATTTAAAAATATTTTGCAACCTAAGTGATGCCATTATGGCTCATTCACTCTTTTTTCTATGTCAATCTTTTCTAAATATGCTAAATAAAACTTCAAAAATAAACCAAAATTGTCTAACCAGGTTTAAGGGTGGCCTAAGGTGCTGCTTATTTTTTCGTGAAGCCACTCAGTAAAATTACGATTTCTCTGTACCTTGATGTCCAATCAACATCAGTATCTATGTGTTCCTGACACGTTTGGGCATCCTGTACAACGTCTACCCACTATGGGTGCAAACTTAAGGTAGACGTTGTAATTCCCGGACGCCCAAACGTGTCATAAACACATAGATACTTGAATGATCTTGATTGGAAATCATGTTGCAGAGAAATCGTAATTTTACTGAGTGGCTTCACGAAAAAATAAAAAGGCTAAAAGGAAGAATATATTATGTTTTAGATATTATTGTACCATTTGTTTCTATGAGAACTAAAATTTTGAAATGCATTTTTCTCTGAACCATTTTCATGCATTGATGAGTTCATTTCTCGCTTATTTATGAACCGATTTTCTTAATTTTTCGGCAAATAAACATGGTATGAATTATCGCTTATTGGAAGATACGTGTAACCTCTAAACGTTAGTTTTAAACAAATTCACGATTTTTCGAACAAAAGGT